ATGTTTTATGAATAAACACGATGTTTTGGAAATATTTATCAAAAGAAATTTATACTATGTTGCGAATTACAATTTCGAGATAACCTTCTTTTATTTACGAACTTATGTCTTTGATGCTGAAATTGACAACTTTATAAAAATACATTTTCACTGAAATTATGAAATCTGGGTGTCGGAAAGGTGTAAAATTATTCTTCGGAAAAGAAAAAAACAGTAGTTGAGCTAGATAAGAAATTATACGGGGGCAGGCTCCTATGGAGAATTAACATTACTGGAAACAGGCCCTTTAATATGCTTGAAAACTGTTGGTCTGTTCAGAAAGATATAACGAAACATAGCCAGTTTGGCTTTTCATGTTGATTTTTGCCTGTTATTGCTTTTTTGTTTGATGCCATTTCCTTTTGTTCAGAACTCAATTAATGCATTCTATAATGTCTTGATGAAATGTAGTTATACATTGTAGCTGCAAATCATGTTCCTACTGTGTCCGCACAAATGCATCTTTATCTTATGTTACAGGGAAAATATTAGAATTTATTGTAATGTTGTTTTATTATTAACCTAACTAGGCTTTCGGACAACTTATAATAGTGTATCAGCTATACGAAATAGATTACAACTCACGAGACTTGGGGACGACTTTGAATTGATAAGGTCTGCAAAAACGTGAACTATATGTGACATTCTACTGTGAATATTGTATGACTGATTTGATTTTAAGTTGTATTTTTTTTCATTTTTAAGATTGGAGTTTAACGTCATATCAACAATTAAGGTCACCTTAGGGCGTGCCTCCGTGTGTGTTGTGTATGCGTGCATTTGTGTACATGTGCTGCAGGCAGGGTATGTTGGTGTAATTGCCTCTTTGTGACAGTGCGGATCTGATACCGATTTGTTTGTGCTACCTCACTGAAATACCAAGCAGAAGGTAGACGGCACAGCATCTCGCCCGGTCACATTATACTGATACAGTAATTGGTTAACTAGTTGTTGCCAGTACCCTTTATGCTGAACATTTATCAGGGAATAACAAATACTATTTTATGGACTTTGATATGTCCCGAACAGAACCCATCGTCTTCCTCACCTGAGCGAACGTTCAACTTTATAACCAAATGTGAGGTTTTGCCAGGTAAGGTACTAGGAAATAAAAGGATAGAAAGAGGGTAAACCACTAAGATCGCATATATTGAAATGGTTGCAGCAGATATATTCTGTCACTTCAACTGCTCAAGTTTAATATTTTGAGCTTTAATTTTCGCACAAATAACAATAAAAAACGAAAATTTGTAAAAGGTTTATCAATACATGTACAGTGCAGTGCACAAGTAGTATAATTTCTATTATTTACTTTATTTACTTAATATAAGTTGTAACGGAGACTAACTTGTTAAAATGTTTCTGGTTTTAAGTACATAACTATACATGCATATACCAATCTACAATGTCTCCGCACACATACACACAGGCTCCTTACACAGCACACATGGAGACACGTCCTTAAATGACCTTAGCTGTAATAGGATATTAAACAAAATAGAACAAAACCAAACACATATTATTTACGAACATGTATAAGATCAATACACATGACCATGAAATGTTCAACAGTGAATGCTAACTTAAGCATGTGAGCATGAGTAATGTATATCTTTAGGAGGCTTCATTCGATGGAGACATGAGTGTTTTTTTTAATTATTGGTGACGAACGTTTTGCGAACCCAAAAAGCTTAATATAGATGCTAAAGTAATACAATTACAAATTTAACTAGAATTTTGTTTTTGCGAACAAAAACATATGTCTCCCCTTATTAGCCAATAGAAAAACTCTGGTATAAAAAATTAACAAAGGGCCATATCAATTTATATAGTGGGGCACGAGACCCGAATTAAGAATTTGACACTCCTATTTACCCAAGATACATTAAAACCTTAGCAAGTTTGGTCAACGTAGGTGAAACTAGAACACTGACAGGTCAGTAAGGGCCCCGTCTTGTGGTAATATATCCCCCATAATCATCAAGAAGCAATCTGCCCATATAGCTGAACTTGACGTTTGACATTTGGACTTCCAAAAACATCGCAAGGAAGCAAAATATACATTTTACATGTACTATGATGTGAGTCTTGTTTCCTTCCACTTCCATATTTGCTGGGCTAACATAAATGTAAATACCAGTGCAATACTCATTTGTTAGCTTTGATTTGTTTTATTTCACCTTAAATACTTCCACATCAAGAGCCAGGGTCAAAGTAAGAGATCCACTTTGTCTTTGACCTTTGGACCTAAATGACCTTGACCTTTAACCAAGTGACCCTGATCTTTGGTCAGTTGACTCATACTTCAATTCCGACCAATTTTGCTTCATAATATCATAAAAAGATGTTCATCAGTGAAAAATACAAAACTAGACCTTGACATTGAACCTTTGAAACATGTAACCTTGACCTTTGGTTAGTTGACTCTGTGTTAAGTTCTGAACAACTTTGCTTCATAATAACATATAAAAAATGTTCATCAGTAAAAAGATACAATATCTGACCTTGAAATTGACCCAGTGACCATGACCTTAAGTCAGTTGACTCCTTATCATAACAAAATGTTTATCAGGGAAAAGATACAAAATTTGACCTTGACATTTGACCGTGTGACCTTGAGTCAATTGACTCCTTGTTTGATTCTGACCAATATTGCTTCATTATGTCATAAGAAAATGTTCACCAGTAAAAAGATACAAAATGTAACCTTCACCTTTGACCCAGTAACCTTGACCTTTGGTCAACTGACTCCTTGTTTAATTCCGACCAACTTTGCTTCAAAGTGTCTTAACAAAATGTTCCCCAGTGAAAAGATACTAAATTTGACCTTAACCTTTTACCCAGTGACCTTGACCTTAAGTCAGTTGACTCTTTGTTAAATTCAAACCTACTTTGCTTCATAATGTTATAATAAAATGTTCATCAGGGAAAAGATACAAAATTTGACCTTGGCCTTTGACCCAGTTACCTTGACCTTTGGTCAGTTGATACCTTGTTGGATTGTGACGGAAGGACGGATGAATTAGTATAGGGCACCAGCATCTTCGATGCAGGGCCCTAATAACATGGAAGTTATGCCATGGACAAACTTCGGTATTAAAAATAAACAAAGGGCAATAACCCTGTATATACGCACGACCTAATTCCAGTGCACAGCACACCTTCTGTGAGTGATGCAGGTATACTTCAAGTTTGATTAAGATATCTTTAATGGTTTAGAAGTTATGCCATGGACAACCTTCGGTATTAAAAATAAACAAAGGGCCATAACTCTGTATATAGTGGGGCATAAAACCTGATTTTAGTGTGAGAAATTCCACCTTCCCAAGATACATCAATATGGTAAGTATGGTCAACATAGGTGAAATAACAAAGAACTTATGCTCTGGACAAACTTTGGTATTAAAATTAAACAAAGGGTCATATAGTGGAGCACGAGACCTAGTTCCAGTGCACTGCACACCTTCTGTGGGTGATGCAGGTATACCTAAAGTTTCATCAAGATATCTTTAACGGTTTAAAAGATATGGCCCGGACAAGTCAGATTAGAAGAACAAGAAGAAGAAGAAGAAGAAGAAGTAGAAAAAGAAGAAGAAGAAGAAGAACCAGTACTAATACAATATGTCTCCCTTCATTCAAAGGAGAGACATAACAAGGTATGTTTAAATAAAAAAAGTTATAGAGAGCTTTGCCATAAAAATAAATCAGTGAAATTTTGAGTCATTTTGATAATCAAATAAAATAGCGTAAAACAGTCCCTGTCCTATTGCAGATGACACAAGAAGGAACATCCTGTTGCCTTGAACCCTGATACACCTCATTGTGCTTTAACCAAAACGATGCTTATAGTCATCTTCTAATCGAATAAACCCGAGAAGGTCCCGGGGAAAGGAACGACCTGCTTTATCTTCATCTAGGGGTCAATGAACAACACCCCCTGCAGGTCTGGGGTCGAGAAATGAATACACTTGCTGTACGGCACTACATGTATCGTACGAGGCGACAAATGTTTTAATCCCCTGCAGAATTGGGGATTTGCCTTTTGTGCCTGCTACTTGGGAACACAAAAACGACCAACTAAATCTAAATCCATTGCAAAATTTGGGATACTTATTCTTCTCTCTGATATCTGCCATTTATATCCTAGCGCCTTGATTGGCATTATCTCACTTCTGACTTTAATGTTGATCGTTCGTACATGTGAGGAAGACAATGGGTTCTGTCACCAGACCGAGACATACCAAAGTCCTTGTAAATGGTAGTTGTAATGTAACGTTCAGCATTCCGGGTAAACTATCCCCATGGCAACACACATTTAGTCCAAAATAATAAGACTGTGTCATAAATGACATTCCATCGCTGACCAGTCATAAAGATCACATAAGTATATCGATAGTCGTCTTACTGCTTTTCTTAGATCTACAATCGTTCACAAGACATGGCTTTACCACCGTAAACGATACATATATAATGGGTTATCTGCATTAGTCCTATATCTCACCACTAGGCTTCGCACATTTACACTAGTAACAAGAATAAGCACATACAAATTAAGTTCTTACAAAGACCGGAACATCTACAGATACCAAATGACAGTGCTGTACATGGATTATTAGTCAATCGTTTACCCGAGTCAGGTAAGTCGATTCGGAAACCTAGTATCGAACAGTTTCTGTTTTTCTTTTACAGTTATAAAATCCTAGCATGAAGAAATAACAAGGACTTTTCAACATACAAACATACGTTACATGGAGGCTCGTTAGCTCGTGGGTGTCACGTCAAATGTTCTAAAACTTTACATGTTTAAAATAAAACACCAAGTTGTGAATACTCTTTGAAACTACATTAAGAATAAATGAACCTTATTGTTATAATAATAACTGTTTGGCAAAAGAGTGGGCTTTAAACAATGTATTTTGTTGCATGTTTTATTATTTTGCTACAGAGAAAACCCATGACGTCACTTCTATTCAGAGCACAGATAATTTCTCGGATGTGTAAGTATTCAGATAATTCAGCTTAATGACAAATCACTGTGTCTTTAATTTTTAAATTTTTCAGAGTTATTTAAACCGACTTGAAAATCTCAGCATTCGAAAAAAAACTTGATTGATTACAAGAAAAACTAAAAAAAAGCAAGCAATTTATTTATTTTAATAATGTCTTCACGTATCGGTGGGTAAGAAAGACTACTATCAGTGGAATATTTTTTTTTATCTTTGTCAGCTTAACCTTTTGTTTTATTAAATCGGTTAGTATAGTGTTTTGAAAATTTCACAGATTTAAATATATGTCTTCAAACTATTATTTATGTTAAAGCGTTTAATTATGTTTATTAACATATAGCTTAAGTCTTTTTGATATAATTACTTATCTCGTAAAGCTGATTAGACTTTAAACAATTTTACACACAATTCCAGAGGGAGCCTCATTATAATAAATATTTGACGGACCTCTTTATGCTTTGTCAGCTTTGACTCAATACTTATGTCATCTAAAACGACAAGCAACTGTATGGAAATCCATTTCGACATATGCTTTGATTATATTTCCCCCTATACATGTATATTAATTCAACAACATAAATAGTCTAGTCGATTTGTAATCGATATAAATTGCTTGTTCATTATTTCATCAAATGTTATATCTTCAAAAGGAGGTTGTTCATGTTAACGGGCAATACACTGAACCATGTTAGGATGATATAACACATAGTTAAATGTACCAAGCCGAGGATAAAGCTTGTTTTCAATGTAAATGGACGAGGTAATAAGTGTGCCTCGACATTTCGAATAGACACAAAAGCTTAATACGACAGAAAAAAATAATACACACCCAAAAGGACTATTTAAGGTTTTGGAATTTAAAGTCTTTCATTGAATTTTCAAGTCATTGTATTTTTAATTGGAATAAATCTCTGATACAATTGTTGAAATATTTTCATTCTTTTGATTATTATTACCAAGGTCAAATTATTTCATAAAACAGTAACCTGTTTCAGTATAATGTGATAAGGCGGAAACTGTCCTGGAGGCCTTCGGCATGCTATTTTAGGAAGCACCGTAAAATCGGCCTCAAGTCCGCGCTATTGACACCAAAACTCATGTCTCCAGCACACATACAAGCATACACAACACAAACGGAGGCACGTCCTTACATGACCTTAGCTGTTGAAAAGACGGTAAACTTTTTACAACCAACCAACCTTAAATGATCTCAGCTGTTGATAGGACGTTAAACCAACTCATAAAATAGTGATGTCCTTGTCCTCTGATATTAAGCCTGTTAATAATGTATTCTATTATTTTCATAAGAAAATATTCAAATTTCAACAGGTCCCCACCGGAGCTATAATAACAATTTTTAATATTATTTTGGACGTACTCAAAATAAAAGAAACAGATGATTGAAAGTGAATTAGTTTGTTTTAGATTATTGTTTTCAATTTCCACGAATTTAGGGACCGAAAAAATCAGACCTTATATAGTCCTTCAAAGAAAATTACAATTAAAAAGCACAGTAGTACTCCTCCTGATCACATACTGACGACTGGTAACCAGTTTTTGCAATTGCCTTAAATGCTGCAAATCTAAACGCATATCATCATTGACAAGTTGAAGCAGATTTGTTACATAATACAATCAAACATTTATTATATACGTGCAATCATAGTCCTTATAATGTGAATAGACAGAATGCTGTGGTTGGTGCATTTCGATTGTTATTTCAGTGAGATAGCACTATAAAACCGGAATCAGATCCGCGCTATCACAAGGAAGCAAGTACACCAACATACCTTGCCTCCAGCACACATATTCATATGCATGCTTACACAGCACATATGGAGGCACGCCCTTTAATGACATTACTTGTTTATAGGAGGTCACAAAATAAACAAGAGGCCAAGAGGGCCTGTATCGCTCACCTGAATAAGCAGAATATTCTCATTAAATATCATATTGCAGAACAAATATTTCCCTCGCAAACTTTGTCGACTCCATCTGTTGAAACTACCAGCCAAATATTGTTTTAAGATTCTATGCTTTTTGGCTCCTCTTCAGAAGTTGTTTGACATATAATTCCCTGTGACCTTGTAAGTAGGTCAATGCCATTTTACTTCTCACACTTTGTTAGCTCTATCCCAAATAGCTACCAGCCAAATCCTATGAATCCATTACTTTAGTTCTTCAGAACGAATCCTTTGAAATGTTGTTGACCTCTGTGACCTTTAAAATAGGTTGAGGTCATTTTCATATGGAAACTTCGTTGAGCTCTATCCCAGGAAGCCACCAGCCATATATCATAATTTTATGCTTTTCGATTATTCAGAAGAAGTCGTTTGATGTTTTTGTTTTTATATATTTGACACCTGTGGCATTGAAAGGCTCTATCTCAGGAAGCCAACAGCTACATATGAAGGTTCTATACCTTTTAGTTCTTCAGAAGAAGTCGTTTAAATAGTTTGACATATTTGACCGCTGTGGCCTTGAAAGTAAGCAAGGTCATTTTCATTCCCAAACTTTGTCGGGCTCCATCCTAGGAAGCCATCAGTCAAACAAATATGAAGATTCTATACCTTTTAGTTCTTCAGAAGAAGTCGTTTGAAGCGTTTGACATATTTGACCGCTGTGACCTTGAAAGTAGGTCAAAGTCATTTTCCTTCTCAAACTTTTTCGGGCTCTATCCAAGGAAGCCACCAGCCAAATATAAAGATTATATACTATTCAGTTCTTCAGAAGAAGTTGTTTGAAGAGTTTGACACATTTGACCCATGTGGCATTAAAATTAGGTCAAGGTCATTTCCATTCTCAACAAACTTTGTTGGGCTCTATCCCAGGAAGCCACCAGCCAAACTGAAGATTCTATACCTTTCAGTTCTTCAGAGAAGTCGTTTGACACATTTGACCCCTGTGACCTTGAAAGTAGGTCAAGGTCATTTTCGTTCTCAAACTTTGTCGGGCTCCTACCAACGAAGCTTTCAGTCAAATTCATGGTTTTATGAATGTTCGTTCTTCAGAAGAAGATGTTTCAAGGAAAAGTTGACGGACGACGACGAACGCCGCACCATGACATAATCTCACTTGCATTTAGGACATGTGAGCTAAAAACAAACCAAACCAAGTTGACTAGTATCATCATAAAAAAGTGTTTATTGACCCGTGCAAAAAGCACATATTTCTTGACCCATGAAAGCTGACAATAAGGAAACTTTCCATAAACTTGATAACATTATCTTAACTGACGGTTTACTTAGTGGAATTACACGATTATCATATTTTTTAGAACTGAAGACAAAAAAGAATATGCATGAATGATCTTATTAGGCGACTGATGTAAGAACCCTCTGCAATATTTGTGACTTGTGCTTGTGCCTTCTATTTGGGGATGTAAACGCCACCAAAAATCATCTGCTGGTTGCACCTACACTTAAAATTGGAATATGATATTTTCTAACTACCTTTTGTTTCCTAGTGCCTTGTCTGGCGGAACCTAACTTTTGGCTGAACTGTTGAACGTTTCTGTCCTAAGACTAGGACATTAGTCATTTTCCCTATTAACATGCAGCAATTAGGGAAATCGCAACAACTGGTTCAACAGTTGTCAGTATAATGTGACCAGGGTTATCCTGTGCTGGGTCCCTCGGCATGTTTTGGTTTTATAAGGTTTAACGTCATATTAGCAGCTATGGTCAATAGAAAACGTCCCTCCTTGTGTGTTTGGCTGCTAGAGTCAGTATGTCTTTGTGTAATTGCAATTGCTACATATGCCGACATTACAGTGCTATCTCACTGAAATAGTATTCTAAAGGCACCAAACATAGAATCCCGCCCGTTCAGTTAATAAGAACAACGGTTGTACGATTGCTTTATATATGATTTATCAATTATTTTCGTAGTCCTGACTTTCGTTTTTTTATTCATACAGAAAAGCAACGCTGGATTTTCCTAAGTAGACGCGAAATGGACTGTAAACAACACGACAGAAAGCGTGCAGATTATATTTGTACGACATGCAATAACGCGCCGATCTGTCGGGATTGTAAAACCGGGAAACATAGCAATCATACAGTAAGAACGCCACGGGAAGTTGCTGTCAACATCGAGAAAGAACTAACAAAACTGAAAATTAATGACACCCAAGTTATTGCTGACCTTGAATCTGACAGACAGTATGTACCTTGTTTGAAAGAAGAACAGGGAAAAGAAAATAAGGAGATTGAAAAGCAAATCAATTTGCAACGTGGAAGAATTCACGAGGCAGTCGATAGAATTGCTAATAATTTGGTGTCTTTGTACAAATCGAAAATGGAACAGAACTGCGACATCCTCGACAAGCGTGCTAACGAAATGCAGCAACACATTGAAATAACATCTAAACACATATCTGAAGTGAGAGCCATTCTGGAAGAACTTGATGACGTCGAAGTCATAAATAAGGCAGGACGCCTTGTTGTTAGCAGGATGTTAGATTTTGATGATCTAGAAAAAGCAACATACAAACCAGGAATAATTAATATTACAAAACTGGAAGAGATGATGGGTTGTTCAACATGTTCTTTACCGGAAAATGTGCCGAATATAACATCAAAAGAAGCTAAGAGAGCGCAACACTGTGTTAATGCCAATATTGCCAGGACAACTGTCAGAGCCTCTTCTGTCAATCAAAGTTCAGATTTTGTGGGTTCGGTACACGTATCTCAACAAAGACTCGAGGTCAAAGAACGCGCAACCTTTCAGTGTTCTAAGAATCTGCTTGCAAAATCATATGCGTTCGAGATATGGCCGACAACAAAAAGATTCTCGTGTATAAATTGTACAGGCAAAAACAAGCTGAAACTATTCGATAAAAACGGTCGTATAGAAAAAATCCTGAAACTTTAAAACCATATAGGTGGCATGTTCGTTACACCCGAGGTGACTGATTCATTGTTGTTTTGTTGTTATGGTGACAATTGTATCAAACAGGTGACTGGCCCAGAGTTACATGTGTCTACGGCCTTCTCCACAGAATCTCTTTATCCACGGTGTGTTTGTAGATCGATGGAGGATGACGAAATTCACGTGACCCTCGTAGACAGTAATGATTTTACAATAACACCTAGCAGTATGCGTTGTGTAGCAACTTTCAAGAAAGGAGTATTATCACGCAGGGTGGAAAAGGACAAATTTGGAGACGCTATATTTGTAAAACCCAGTCGAGTAAAATTAAACAAGACTGGTGACATTTTGGCCGTGGTTAATCGTACAGACATATACAACACTCATCTGGTGCTCCTCAACAAAGATCTAACGTTGAAATTGAGATACCTAGGTAATCATGTAGTTTTGAATGATACACAGCGCTTTCAATACCACCTATATTCACCTGAAACGCCATACACAATTAACGACTTTGAATTCATCGCCGGGGACAATCTTATAGTGTGCGAGCGGTACAGCCGCTGTGTCCAGCTCCTTGCGGGGGGACTTTCGACATTTGAGGACCGTTGTACCGTCAGGGAATGTAGTTCCCTACTCATTGGCCTGCTACGCTGACCGGATGTGGGTGGGGTACTTCGACGGAAGTGTGAAAGTTTACGATATCGGTTCCTGATTGGTCACACATTGATAGCAAAATCGGATTGAATTCATGTCAGTAAAGAGGAATCAGGAAAAAAGCAGGAAAATAACAACCTATGATATTTCTATTATTTGTTAGCCCTAATAATGATCTGTGAAATTTACGCGAATCGAGTAATGCGTGTTACTTGCTATACGGCGATCAGTGTAAAACTAGCCTGTTCGAACTGATCAATCTCGCTTTGATGTAACCTTTAACCACGTGACGTCACAAGCGACACGTCTGGGTCAAATAGGCAAGTTTACAATAGAGCTACCGCAAATGAATAGAGATAGGTAAGCAATATGAAATTTGATTTGTCACATAAAACAACGTAAAATTTGCACACAAAGGTAGCTTCAATAGCTGTTTTTCAACATACGTCCGGTATGACCTTTACATGAAGTATCATACGAATAATTCCATGATCGTTAGGTACAGAAATGACCGAAAAGTAGGAACAAGAGGTCAAATGGACCTCGTTGCTCATATACATTACATTTTACACAGGGATGCCCACATTCACTAAAACAAATTTCTTATATCAAGAAACCGGATGGTTACCCTTTCAGAAAGAAGAAATGCTCGGAAACTTTCCTTGTTTTATTCTATAGTAAATAACATGGCACCTGAATTTCTTGAAAATATAGCTCCGTATAATTTGCGAAATGCACATTTACTGCGGGAACAGCACTTCCGTTTACAACTATCAAAAAATCTTAATTCCTCACCCTCACTAAATTCTTTCAAGTCTAATGTAAACAAGTCTATGATAGTAAATAATTTGCTTAGCAAGGATTTCGTAAACTATGGACCGAGAAAATTAAATATCCTCATTTGTCGTCTTAGAAATCGAGCTAGCTCATTAAATTATAATCTTTCAGAGCAAATCTATAAGGTTCAGCTGATTGCGGTCATGGACATCCCTGTGGAGATTGTTATCATTTTTTTGCTTATTTGTCCTTTGTATTCTTATTAACGAAGAACACTCATTACTAAATTGGAATGGTACGAAGGCGACATAAACGTAGATATTCTTTGTAAAGGTGACCCCAACATCTCACCAAATGGTAATATGAAACTAGCCAAGGCTGCACAGCATTTCCTGGGAAAATCGGGTAGAATTTACTAACTACCAACCCAACCCCTCTCTACACAACCTCCAACACCAGTTCTGTCTCCTGCTTCTTCTCTTACCCCCCCCCCCTCTCTCTCTCTCTCTCTCTCTCTCTCTCTCTCTGAAAACATTTAATTAATAACATTTATTTTCTTATCATCATGTGACATTTGTGTATTATTATATTTTTTCTGTATTACGAGAGAAGTCAATTGATAAGTTGGAAGAACTTACCGACTAATCCCTTTGTCAATATGTTGTGAATAAAATATGTTTAAACTAACTGATTTTGAGTTTTTGAAAAATAGACATATCTGCAACTGAAAGGCCTGGTAGGCTTTGTTGGATTTCCTGATTAGCACTGAAAGGTTGGAACACTATTTCCGAAGTAGAAGGTGAGATATAAGCAATTTTTTTAAAGTAGCTACAGTAAATAACGTCTTTACTAATTTTAATTTATACTAGCTTCTAAACTAACAGACAACTGTCTATAAAACGTATAGCACAAACATGATACACAATATGTCTTTATATGTTATTTGTTGATGTTATGCAAAACAACAGCACCTCAGGATTCTTTAGACCCCGGGATTCTGTCAGTTATTCATTTTTATATCCCACTGCAACCACAGGATAATAATTCTTACCCGGTTTAAATTATTTTCCACCGAAAGTAAGCAAAAGATATCTTAGTGTTAATTCTCAATATAAGCGAAAGTAAAATATACCTCTCTCCAGGGAGGATTGGGTGAAAATAATTATTTTAATAAAAAGAAAATTAGATTCCAGCAAATGTGGGTCTTGATCCTCCTCCCCCCCCCCCCCCCCCCCCCCCGCGTATAAACTAGACTTGCCATTGCTTCATAAACCCAACACATGTCTATTGTTGAAAAATATGTTGACACTCAAAGAACACGCCGTTATATCCAGGTCTTCTAAACGGTTATAGAAGCGGATATTCAAGCCTTTTAAAGACGTTGGACGTTTCAATTATTGACACTACAAGTATATCTGTGAAAGCAGATGCGATATAAAATAATTGATAAAAAAAAACACGCAGTGCTTTGACGTAGCCAGATTATTGCCTTTATCATTTACAATACTGCCTTTTCTGTAATTATAGGGTTGTTTTTCCTGGAAGGATGTTACTGTTGCAATCTTCGATGCATCAGGCTAATTTTTTAGGACGTTAAAAAGGTAAGTGGTCACCCTAACGACCAGGTTTTTTTATGCGGTTATCACTCTAGGCTGATTCTATCCCTTTTAAGGTCATCGTAAAAGGCGATTATTTGTGATGCAATGCATAATCAGGGCTTTCTTCCGTCTCTTCTGCCAAGTGGACATTGAAGAAATAAAAAATGACTTGCTACTGGGGTTACGTATGGATCTAAACCTTTTAATTTTCTTATCCCCTTAACTTTTCACTGTCTCTCTGGTTCGAGGACGTTACACATCATACAATCATCAAGTTTCTCTGCTTAACGTTCAGCATTTGTGGTTATCGCAACAACTAGTTTCCCAGTTTACTGAGTTGGATGCCTTTATCACAAAACACCATCAAACCCTGCCTCTAGCACACACTCATGCAATTACTCATACATAACACACATAAAAGCATACCCTTAAATGACCCTAGCTGTTAATAGAACGTTAAACAAAACAACACCAACTCTTTATTGCTGTCTAGAGTAAACTATCAATTTATGGCAGTTCTCTCAAGGCTCGTGCTTCTTGAATTTCTATATTATCTCCATCCCCCCACCTTTGGCCAAATATGCAGGATGTTTCACATCATACCTGGCCACCAGCTATCTGCGCTAGGCACATATATATTTCTTTATTCTCATATGCCTAAATGGTGGATTATTCTTTTGTACTCCAATTTTCTTCCTGATATGTCAACGTGCTTGAACCTTCATAGGCCTTTAAACATGTTATAATGAACAACTTTAGTTTTACTCTTTTAATATTTTCTTATCCGATAAATCACATTATTTATTTCCTATAACACTTCAGAAGACCTTCCCAATGACACCGATTGTGAATCAAACCTTTCATGCTGAAGAACCTGTGAAGTCCGGGGGAAAACGTAAGTATGCTGATTCCCACTGCATGATCGTAAGCGGCGACTAATGTAGGTCCCCTGCACCCGTCCTCACGTGACTGGCTCTTGCGAGGACGTTAAACAACAAACAAAACCTCTCATTTTGGCTTTAGTGTTTATTTTTAGGAAGGTAACGAGTTGAAAATTCGTCATTAATGGAAATGGCAACAACTGGTATGCCCGTTGTCAGCATAATGTGACCGGGCGGAATGTTGTGCCTTGCATAGTTATTTTCAGTGAGATAGCACTATAAAGCAAGCATCAGATAATAAGGAGGCAATTACACCACTACCAACATACCCCGTGTCTGGCATGCATAAACACATGCATGCTTACATAACACATAGAGGTATTGCGAAATAACACAATATTTGTATGTTTTCAAGTATTTAATTTTTAATTTTTATATATTTTGCTATTGTTTCAACATCATTTCATAGTTCGTACAATACGAGTTTATATAGACTTATTTATATATTGAATAATAAACGTTTGTGTTAAATATTTGATGCTGAAATTCATTGAGTATAAATTTAATTTTTACCAAGCCTGCTCAATCTGTGTTGCAAGGGAAGCAACTTTTAAATGAATTCTCAGAAACGAAAGTAGAAATACCACTTCCGGACGGTGACCAACAACGAGGTAAGAACAAATATCCGTCTTATTTACTAAGTATCAGTCAAATTGTCTACAGTAAACATCATCGGATATGGTTATTGACATCACCAAGGGAACTATAAAAAGTCAGGATACCTTCTTAAGGAGGAAATGTTTGGAAGAAGGCGTACAAACACGTAGTAGTGTTAGTTCTGACCTGTACTATCGTATCATAGGTGTCCTGGCTCACACAGATATTTCAGTATTAGTAACAGGTATGTGATGAGTTCAAAAGGTATTTGATGGGTTCTTTTCCAAGAAACAAATTGTAATATAAACTATTTTAGCTATCACCTATTAATATATAATATTATTATACATACTACTAATTCCCCGGTTTCGGTTTTAGTTGCCTTGCTCAAGTCAGAAAACGTAAGGTCTAAAAAGTCCCAAAATGATTTTATAGTCATAATGAATTTCAATCACCTGATACACACGTGTTCAAAGATTCAATTAAAATCGGAACTTGCATACGTAACTGAAATATATTTAACCTGTACATTATCTTTTTAAAATGGATCATATCGAGATAAATGTTGTCAACAATGAGGCATTCAGGCTGATGCCTTCATGATGTCCCCCAAAGGGACCTAGTCCCTTGTTCATAACATGGGGAACTTTGAGACCCCTCCCTATAATAATACATACAATTCTTGAGCATGAAGATTTGCATACAAATAAGCTGGCAGGATTGGCCCATGAGAATGACCCTGATCCCTAGTAAGATCTTATTTGGCCTTACTACTTTCATGTTATCTTTTACATTCATGTAATCTCTAAAATATTATAGGATATGATATATATATATTACAACCAATTAGTTTGCTATCGATATATTTTGACATCTTTTACACACTTTAGCCTTTTTGTTTCTGGTTGTGATATATTCATATTTTGTGAATGTCTATTTTTACATCGTTGTTTGGCCCTAAATAACTCAAATTGTCGATGAGCAGTAAAACAATATAAATATAAACAAAATTCATTGAGAATCTTTTGCCATGAATGCTATGTTATAAGGTCAAGTGATATATTTTTATGAAGAAATCAGCCTTAATGCCTTATTAATGACTAAGTTAATATTAATATATACCACATTAAATAGTATGATAACATAAATACAACTATAATACAGTCAAATTACATATATTAATTCCTATGTTTAATTGGAGTCTTTGAATGTGACTTATCAGGGGGTTGGGCGATTCCAGCATTTGTAGGGGTCTTGCTGAACTTTAACAATTCGCTTTAAAAGGGAGGAATCAAACGATTCAAATCCCTGTTTATATAAACTATCTCGCTACACAGGGCACGGGGATTATAATTAAAAAGAACAACTAGTTTAAATGAGTGGGATCATTATTACTTGAAAAATAATGAATTTGCTTAAAAAAATATCCTGGGTGATATACAAAAATGTTTTACTCCCGTGTTCTATTGAAGTGCGCCTTCTTACTCGTAATTCTTCTTCCTCGGCGCCCGGCCTTCTCTTAGGTGGCCTCTTTTCGTCTCTTGGTCCAGGTTCTTCTACATGCTTTGTTATGTTAATTTAGTTTAAACATATTTTTTGCCATATAAACGAAAACAGTTTGGGCATAAATTTCAAGAATATAAACGCCCGTCCCTTACAATGAAAATGATTTGTTTCATAGGGTTTACCGTCTTATTAGACGTGCCTCCATGTGTGTTGTGTATGCATATCGGTATGAATGTGTGTTGGAGGCAGGATCTGAGGCCAACTTTATTTATAAAATGTATTACCTGTAACTGAACGAGATCAGGTTATCTCGGTCGAGAGCTAATATTCTGTAACATAATCTCAACCAAGGCATAAGCGTAATCTGAGGCCTCTAATAAAAATGGCCTCTACACTACTAAAGCTATATTTTAATTCTTCCGCGTAAACATGTATTACGTCCTTACATAGAAGACCGTGTATTTCACAGTGTAGATTATGTTTTATCTACAACATCAAACCATAAAACATATAACGACAAAACAGAATAATGCAGATCGTCAATTTCAAGCCGTTAACTCGCGGATGAATACATCGCAGTGTATGTACCCAGAGATATCGGACGAGACAGACAAATCTAGCATGGGGTATGATGTGAGGTGCGAGAAAGTGCTATCTCAAAATGAAATGCCATTACTAGGTCATACTATACGGACAACGGGTGATCAAGAACCAATCATTGTCATGTCTCTATTAATACGAAAATTGAACGTATGTAAACAACATAACATGGCTAACAAGAGATATAAACACATACGAGCATGCATGAATGCATGTATTGTTTTGCGCTTCTTTGTGAGTTAAACAACTTAAGTATGAAGGTTTAACGCGAGTTGAGTATTTTTATCCTCTACCTCGCTTAGGTCGTACGCACAACCATGCATATAGACATTCAGGTAATACGATTTGCTTTGTGCTCACAATGTGAGTCCGATGGAAAACTGCGATAGGAGCATGCGCATAACTGTAGGTATCGTAGTTGAAGTATTTGTAGTGGTTGGTCCGTGAAAAAATATTTTCATATCTAACATTATATCTTTCCTGATTGAGGCATGTTGCGTTTCATCCAGATTTACATGGTTATATATTTATCTAGCAGTAATGGACATATCACGTACAAAAGAGCGAAACGACCTCAATCGACACGTGTGTATCAATATATACGGTCATACACATGTACGTATCGTGCGAGCAGATAAATAGAGGTTACACAACGAGTGGTTGTTGTATATGGTATTTCTTTCACTCGAGTTAGTTATTTTTCAAAAGTTACAAAAAACACGAGCTTTAGCGAATGTTTTTTGTAACTTTTGATAATTAACTAACGAGAGTGAAAGATATACCATATACAACAACCACGAGTTTGTGTGACCTGTTTCTACCACAATAAACAAAATATTCCGAGGAAACATTGACATGTTCTGTATGCATATGTGTTTTGTTTACGATATCAGATGGGGCGTAAGGATGTGACCTGTAGTAAAATGCCACTAATTAACATGCAAAAATGACAATTTCAGAAATATGTGGAAATACTATGATTTATTACAAATCATAACAAGTACGTAACAAATTTATTGTCTTCAAAGCAATAAATTTATAGAAACCAACATAAGAAATTTATTATAACAAAAACAATGACGAACTACTTTCTGTGTATCATCATTTCTGCCATCGCATGAAGCGTCTTTCCCTCCAAATTGTCCATTCAAAGGAGTCCCGGTCAAATTTCACCGTGTCAGCCAATCAAAACGCGTTCAGAGTTTATATCACGTGTGGTATAAACAATATGTTGTACAACAGTTGTAATTATTAATTGATGCCTTGGGAGTTGAATAACACCCACCTATTGTGGTAGAAAATGCCTTACCTGTTACCAGTCACAGCAAATATACACGGGCAAAATCACTCGCAGACAAGAACGCACAATCACATTTTTATGCAAAAAATAGTGTGTCAATGGTATTCCTTATAAGTAAACTCATTTGAATTTTAATTGACAAAATACACCCGGGCCCTCAAAAGAGAGCGGGGACGGTTTATTTGGACTAGGTTAAACGCTCTCGCAGTAGCCAGTGTCATATGAGGACGGATGTCTAGAGAGACACCGCCTGAAACAGGAAGTTGACAGAAAAGAAAAAGATTCCAAGTGTTGTTGGGGTGGGAGGGAGGGAGGGAGGGAGGGAGGTTTAGATTAATTTTGGTCTAATCCATGTCCCCTTTTTTGTAGAAGATAACAAAGAAAAAACCCAATTCTACAGGGTGAGCACATTAGTCGCCTTTTACGATACACATCCAGTAGGGTACAGCCGGACTAGTTTTAATTTCTTCAATGTCCCTTTAACAGAAGAAAAGGTAGAAACCATCTCCGATTATGTAGGGTACCCAATCAGTCGCCTCTTTAGTTCAGTAGGATCCTGCACGGGTTGGGTGGGGTCAGAAGAAAATAATGGGGAAGAAATACTTCTAGGGTAGACTGAACCTTAGTTGTTCAGTTTCAAATAAAAGAGGCGTACATATTTCATTTTCTCATCGAAGAGCTCAATGTCAAGTTAGGCTGTTTGTTTTAATACTTTCTTTTAAAAAACATTGCTTAAAAAACACCTTTGTTTGCATAAACACAGGTTAGTGTTTAAGGAAACAAAGGAATTAGAGAACATTGCGTTTGTTTGGTATGTTTAACGTTCCCAAAACAGTCAGAGTCGCATGATGTCGGGTGCCTGTGGATACACCACCGGGAAGAGAAAATAGTCGCCTTCACCATACACATACAGTTAGGTAATCCAATAATTACACAATAATAAATATAGGGTGTGTACTGCGGTACTGGAAACGGAGTAATTTGAGGTAGGTTTAGTTATTTTTAGAACCAATTACCGCCTTGTATAAAAGTCACATTTACTCCATAAGTATTGATATAGTGGATATTGTCGATATATCAGATATGCAGAATGATGACATGTAATTCCTCTGGAACATTCACAACTAAGCGCCACGTTAAGAAGGTCTGACAGTATATTTTATACTGGCAACTGATGAACTAGTTGTTTTCGTTACCCTTAAGTTTTTTAAGTTTGTTGGTAGAGCACACTTTGTCACACTGAATTGCAACACAAAGAAATTGATGTATTTGTTGTTTTTTCTTTGAAAGCTGGCTATGGAGGAACTTATACTACGTGACCGAATCAACCAGATCGAGAAGCTAAAAACTGTTGTGGGCAGGAGGAAAAACGGTTGTCGCCCCCTTAACATCTTGATTATTGGCGCACGGGGGTCTGGGAAGTCTTCCTTCATCAACTCCGTGGCAGCTTCCATTGCAGATGATTATTGGAGGGAATATGCCAATAGCGGGGCACACGGCCTCCAACAAGGTTCAGCAAACACGGTTCGGATCAAAAGGTAAGATATGCCATGACACGAAATTAGTCTCCATAAAGGGGGATGGTTTAAGTTGGTTACCCTTTAAAACATTTTAATACATGTGAGATTTGCCATCCGTTTGTAAATAGTTTACAATTTTGACTTCTCCGAAACCGCTGAACCAATTTCGATCAAATTTTGAAGGGAGGTTCCTTTGTTATTGACAAACAAAATTTAAAAAACAAACATATATAAACTATATTTATTTTACAATACTTACGAAACAAGTTCTTTCAACTTATGGTAATTTGTTGGCCCGGATGATAGTGCGCGGGGGTCTTAGTGAGGGAGGAAAAAGAAATACCCGGAGAAAACTCGCATTGGGCGGGTAACCCCATACCTTTTTCACGTCTGATCGGGGAATCAAAACCAGTGGATGTAATTCATGCGAGAGTATAGAGTATCTATGGGCCTGTTGTTAATATTTAGTGTATATGTTGAAATGATCTTAACAGGGTTTCATATACCATTGATCTGCTGTTCCCAAATTCAAAATTAAGAGATGCATCTGTTTTCTCTTTCATTCACCCTTTTTTGACATTAGTGTTGCACGGTAAGGACATACTAACGTCTTTAAAAATTGTTGTTATTCCCTGCTAAAACGTTCAGCATTTAGGGAAATGACAACAACTGGTTCATCCGTTGTCAGTATTGTGTGACCGGGTGGCTTTGTTTTGTTTTTATTTCGTTGAACGGCCTATTATCAGCTCAGGTCATTTTAGGACATTACGCCATGTGTTGTGTATGCGTGCTTGCGTGTGTGTGTGTGCAGTAAACAGGGTATGTTGGTGTGCTTGTCTCCTTGTGCACCCAGCACAGCACTTCGTCCGGTCATATTATACTGACAAGGTGTGAACCAGTTGTTGGCATTACCCTTAATGCTGAACGTTAAGCAGGGAATCACAACAATCATTTTTTAGGACTTTAGTATGTTCTGGCCTGGGGACAAAACCCCTCATCCCCTGGGCGAACGCGCAACATTAAACCAAAACTGAAGTGTTGCTAAGCAATGCATTAGGAAATAAAAGCTAGTTAGAAATAGAAAGAAAGATAAAGATCCCAAATATTGCAATTGGGGTGCGGCAGATTTATTTTGGTCCCAAATAGAGGACACAAAAGCAAATCCCCCATTCTGTAAGGGGTTTCTGCATTAGTCGCCTCTTACGATACATGCAAAGGGTTACAGCAGGTGTATTCTTATCTCAATCCCCCACCTGCAGGGGTGGAACTAAGCAGGGAATAACAATTACTATCTTTAAGGACTTGTGTATGTCCCGGCCCGAGAACAGAACCCACTGCCTTCCTTACATGGGCGAACAATCATCATTTACGCCAAAAGGATGGTATAGCAAGGCAAGGCAATAGAAAATAAAAAAAGTAGAGAGAAACATAAATATCCCAAATATTGCAATGGGTGCAGCAGATTTATATTGGTGCCTTGTTTGGCAATATCTCACTTTTGGCCTTGTGTTGAGCGTTCGCTCAAGATGAGGAGGCAAGAGGTTCTGTCCCCACGCCGGGACTTACCAAATCCCTAAGCAGTGGTAGTTGTTATTCCCTGCTTAACGTTAGGAAGTTTAGGTTATCATGGTTATCAATGGAAATAGTTACCTACACCGAAGTATGTTATCAGTGTTATAAAATAGCTATCTTCATAAATGAAGTGTTCACCTAGCCAAATAACACCATTTATTGGTATATGTGGGCAATTTACGAAAAAATATAGCATTTCCCAATAAATATAAATTATGGAACATTTTTAATTATCAGCAGTAATGATGCGTTTAGCAGTAGCTCAGTTGACCAATAGCTTACCCTATATCTGGTACCGGGATACACTAGAATAATCATGTTCAAAAGCAGTTCTGTATACATCTCTATATTCTGCAAGGTATATATATATATGGCGATGCTGCCTCTATGAGGAGCAGATAGGAAATGAGTAGAAAAAAAGGATAGAGAAGAAAAGCTTTAACACGGGAAATATCACGCAATGCGACAGTTGTCAAATGTCAGTTTGTCACTGATCCAACAGGTATGCAATAATATACACAATTACGTCACATAACAAACATTCCAATCAAAACGAAACACACAAGACTAGGCAACAGCGATTGCGGATGCAGAGCGCGGATTACGGATTAAAATCGACGACACAATATTATACACAGTAATACTGATTAGACTCAATATATTTTAACTGATCTGTAATAGGGTGCCACATTTCAGTGTGGCAACACTCTAAAGTTTGGTTTGGTTTAGTATCGTAAAACGTCCTTTCAACAGCCATGGCAATTTAAGGACAGCCTCCCCTGTGTGCAAGGTGCATGCATGCGTGTAGTGTAAACGTGTGTGTTTTGGGAGGCTGCGATATGTTCGTGTTTGTCTCCTTGTGATAGCACGGAACTGATGCCGACTTTATAGTGCTACCTCACTGGACCATACTGCCGAAGACACCAAGCAGTCACCCCACCGGTCACATTATATTGACAACGGGCGAACCAGTCGTCCCACTCCTAAATTGCTGAGCGTTAAGCAGAATTATAAACTACCATTTTTACAGGCTCTTTTATGTCTCGACAAGGGGACAGAACCCAAAGCCTTCCTCACAGAGGCGAACGCTCAATACATCAGCATACCCTGCCTATGGCACACTTGCACTCATACATCACAAATATGGTTTGTCTCAAATCTGGGATGATAACCCATGGCGTTGGTTGCGTTGGTGACTGCTCAAACACCAAGGCAAAAAAATGAGGTTTAGCAAAAAAGGTGTAAGGAAAGTTTGTTGTAGAGGGTGTAGCGTCCCATTAACAGCTAACGTCATTTAAGGACGAGTGAATAAAGATCCAAGATGCTGCAAATGTTGTAGCCTCCGTTAAGACCGGATAGAAAATTCCAATTTCGGCAGGAATTCTATTATCAGTAGTCAAAAAGTGTTAAAAAGTGCATTGGGTAAAGCAAGTAGAATTCGCCCACACGACGTGACGTCTCTTTAATCTCTCATCACTTGAGAGAGACATAGGCATTGTTTATAGCTTGAGGTAAGTTATTACAAACACTCCGCAATGTAATATATGCAAGTAAACTTTTTGATTTTGTAGTTTTACTGCAGCTGAATATGTGACGTCATCAAGGCTACATGGATACGCTCTCCCAAGCATCATAGACATTGCTGGGCTTGAAGACGAACATTCTAAAATTACAGAAGAGATTTTAAGACTATTATTTTATGGTCAGTTAGAAGATCATGTAAATATACATTCAGTGTTTAATTATGGAAAACAAAACGGTGTGGAATCAATGCGATGGAAGTTCTTCAAATGGTACACGGCCGATAGTTGTAAAGTTGATCGCATCATCGTGGTTGCTGCGGCAACACAGCCTATACCGGAAAATCTAATCCAATGTGTGATGAAGGCTGCGCGCCCGACCAGCGATAGGTTCACAAGAGGTAAATATATCTGAGCTATATGAGTAGTTGTAAGATACCATACCAAAAGTATCTCGTTAATATCTCGGGTGTATGAGTGAGCTAGCCATGTGATGAACGTATCATGACTATTTGTGTAAAATATAAATGTCATTTTTAAATATTTTGATGTAGCAGCGGAAGGAAATTGAATTCCGTGATCTGTTTTAAGGACGAAGATACCGCTATTTGATTAGTTATCTCCATTATTTTCGATTTGCAAATTCCATAACGTTATGTTTTTAGAAATCGGATGTCTGGTCTCGGGATACATGCATGAAGAAATGTATACAAAAATGCCAGTATAAGGTTTTCCTAAAAAAAACCATTACACGTTATCGCAAACTGTCGGGTAATCTTGGATAATCTATTTCCTCAACAAGAGCACGGCGAGCGGAAGTATGATGCAGGAGACAGGTGTGCTTGCCTCCTTGAGATAGATCGGATCTGATGCCGACATTATAGTGCTATCCCACTGAAATACCATGCCGAAGGCACCCAGCACAGCATTCCGCCCGGTCACATTATACTGACAACGGGTGAACCAGTTGTTACCATTCCCCTGAATGCTGAACGTTAAGTAGGGAATAGCAACTACCATTTTTTTAAGGACTTTGGTATGTCCCAGCCTGGAGAGAGAACCCATTGCCTTTCTCATTTGGGCAAAAGCTCAACATTAAGGCCAAAAGTGAGGTATTGCCAAGCAACGCGTTAGAAAAAAAAGTAGTTAGAAATAGAAAGAAAGATAGTATCCGAAATATTGCAATGCGTGCAGTAGATTTATTTTGGTCGCTTTTTTTGTCTTTAAATAGGGGACACCAAAGAAAATTCCAATTTTGCAGTATGTTAAAACATTAGTCGCCTCCTTCGATACATGCAGTGGGTTTTTGTTTCCTTTTACTTTGTTTGGCATTTTATTATTTCGGCCATCATGTTTATCGTTCACCTAGGGTAGGCAATATATTCTGTCCCTAGGCGGGGCATATCAAGTCCTGAAAAATGGTAGCTACTGGTTGTGTTTGGTTTAGTATTGTTTAATGTCCTATCAACAGCTATGGTCATTTGAGGACGGCTTCCCCTGTGTGCAAGATGCATGCGTGTAGTGTATTTGTCTCCCTGTGATAGCGCGGAACAGATGCCGACTTTATAGTGCTACCTCACTGAAACGTACTGCCGCAGATATCCAGCAGTACATCACACCCGGTCACATTATACTGACAACGGGCGAACCAGTCGTCCCATTCCTAAATTGCTGAGCGTTAAGTAGGAGTAGAAACTACCATTTTTACATACTCTTACATGTCTCGGCCAGGGGACAGAACCCAAAGCCTTTCTCGCAGGGGCGAACGTTTAATTTAAGGCCAAAAGTGAGGCATTGTTAAGGGAGACATTAGGAAGAAGAAACTTATTTAGAAAGAAGAGAAAAGATAAGATCCTAAATTTAGTCGCCTCTTACGATCATGCAATGGGGGCAGCAGGTACAATTGTCTTTTAACTTTTTGGTTGTTTGCTATCATTTCCTATTACATGTTTTATATACTTGCATCATGTCATACTATATATTCAAGCTGACGTTTGACTATTACACTTGTTTTTGTTTGGTTTCATTTTAGATTTGTTTTATCGCCCATTCATTGACCCTACTGACCTCTTTTGTGTTGCTTGGCCGTTAAGATTCAAATCTAAGCAAATCAAAACCTTCATGGAGGCACATGAGCTGATTATAGGTCGTGAAACCCTTTAAAATCAAAATCAAACCTAATACTATTGTCTGTTTTTGTACTGGTACTAGGTTCGAAGTATTTTTCTTAAAAATTCAAATACATATCTTCTATTTTCGTAGGCGAATTAGAAATATTTTTTAACGAGAACAAACTTATATCGTTTATTTGTTTCAAAAGAAATTCCAGTTTTTGGGGTCCTCACAAAGTTTGATCAGGTCGACGAATCCTGCAAAGAATTTAAAGACAGAAAACAGAACTTCATTGAAAGCCTGTCGCTGGTTGGCGCTACTCATAGACTTGGGCAGTGCGTCAATTATTGTGATGACATCGACCCAATATTGGCAAGGACACACCAAACCCTACCAGATGTTGACGTCCCTATCCTAAGATTCATGAACGTGGTTAGTACTATTATGTACACGTTGTGTATATAGACTTCAACATACTTCAAGCGTTCACATTTTTGTGATAATCTTTCAGTGCTTTAGATATTTTGCTAAACAATGATTACGCTAAATTCATATTCTATATATTATTTTCTATTTCATGTATGCCATGAGTTCGAATAACTATTAGCATATCTCCATACAAGGTTGAATATATTAGAACACCTACAGGTTAGCAAGGCCCCGTTCTGTGCCTGACCTGTTCCCGTTTATTTTTAATAACCGTGACCTAACTTAGCCCCTCCGAAAATATGTGACCCCATATTTTGTACTCATCTTCATTTCAAATTGTACTGCCATATCAACTTTCAATAAAATAAGTCTTTTGAAATTTGAGATAACAACCATACCCCGCATAATAATAATAATTGTAACTCATCCCGAAACCAAGAATATCAACTATCCTTGATAAAATCATTATAAATAAATCACAATATCACCATGACAACAATTTCATGACGTCATTATTGTTAAGCAAATGACGTCATGAAGTAATGGAAGCTGGCAGGAAAAGGGACATTTTCTTACAGTATAATTTTTTAAATTTTATTTAAGGTTTAGTTAAACCAACAATAGTAATTGATACCAGTTTGGGAAAGGTTGATTCCATTCTCCAGGTGATGAATTCGGATATAAACCCTCAACAATGATGCAATTATGTCTACCGTTCATCATCTCGAAGTGGAATTTCCCTTACCCCTTCAAACAAATGGAACTTTCTATATTAATAAAGCAATAAGTCAACATCGATCTAAATCAAATCATACTGTACAATTTAAAACGTATTTGTAATGATGTTTGAACAAATTTAACGGAATCCAAAGTAACAAATATGTGTTTCCAATATTCTAGGTGTGTGGATCTAACTACGTCGTCACCAAACCGCACGAGAGTTACCGGAGCGTACTCTTTTGGGAAGCTGCATGTCAGCTATGCATTATAGTGATCGCTATATTAATGTGTTTATTTGGTGTGTTTTTAGCTCACCTGGCCCGAAGGGCAATGTGAGCTTATGCCGTACTGCGGCGTCCGTCGTCCGTCCGTCAACTTTTTCTTTTGTACGACTTCTTCTAAAGAACTGTGGGACCTAGGGTCATGACATTTGGTCAGTAGGTACCTGGGATGGCATGCTATAAAGTTTCCTAATTAAAATGACCTTGACCTACTTTCAAGGTCAAACCGGTCAAATATGTTAAAATTTTCAAACAACAATAACCTAAGAACCATTTGAACTAGAGTCATGATACTTGGGTATGTTATGTAGACCAGCAGTGCAAATATTTTTTCTAATTACAGTTATCAGGTCAAAGGTCAACTTTAAGTGCTAGTTTGGGGTCAAATGTCAACTTTGGTTAAAAGCTTTAACAATCTCCTTCTCAAATTCCGTTAGGCCCAGGGTCATGATATTTAGCCAGTAGGTACCTGGGATGGAGTGCTATAAAGATTCCTCATTAAAATTACCTTGACCTACTTTCAAGGTCACAGGAGTCAAATATGTTAAAAAAAATTCAAACAACAATATCCTAAGAACCATTTGGACTAGTCATGATACCTAAGTTTGTTATGTAGACCAGCTCTGTGAATTGTTTTCTTTACAACAGTAATGAGGTCAAAGGTCAACTTTAACTGCAAATCAGGATTCAAAGGTCAATATGGGTTAAAAGCTTTAAAATTAAAAACTTAAGTCTCAAACAACAATATCTTCAGAACCGTTTAAGATATGTTAAAATGTCTTGTGTTCTAGTTACCAAATGGTCTTAAGTCACCTATATGTCAGTTGCATGTAACAAAAGAAACAGGTGAGCGATACAGGCCCTCTGGGCCTCTTGTTTCGTTTAATTTGCTGATGTAACAGATAAGACTATGGTCTTACCAGCCCAGTGTACATCATACTGTTAAAGCCAATACCACTGGTGGAAACCGATTTCACTAGTAATTTCATATGCAACAACAAATGTATTCCTGGAAAGGTCCCAATATAAAGGTTAAAATAATAGTCGACGATCAGTACATTTTCAACATAAATCATTGGTGTCTATCTTGAAGATGACTATTGATTTGGCGTAAAATAGTATTCCCAATAATGGGCATTGTCAACCTTTCTCATGCCGGCAATACGTTTAGCACAATGTGTACAATGTGGCCGGATGAAATACAAAGTGGGATAAGCTAAGGGTTCTGTTCTCAGGTCGGGACATACCAAAGTCCTTAAAAGTGGTAGTTGCTCTTCTCTCATGACAAGATAGTATGGTGTTACTTGTCTTCTGCTTAGCTGGCTATAACACATGACAGTCGTGTACTACAATTGATTGTCGGTAAAATTAAAACCCATTAGTTGCTAATTATTTTCTAACGGTGCAGAGTAAACAACATTGCGGCGAGTGAATTTGATACCAACACCACTAAGTTCATCATTAATATTTATAAAGACATGTGAAAGTATAGCACGTTCTCAAGTGACCTTAGCTGCTAGTAGATAAAGCCAAAACAATCTTAAATTAATCCGACAGTTTTACCACTCGTACATCATGAAATCTCAGCAGAATAAGAAAAGAGTGATATAAGAAATAAAAGATCAAAGAAACATCTCGGCGCCCACCTTCGTACCATTTTCGTTTGTTCTATGTCAGTTCGATCTGATCTCTTCTTTTCTCTTATCTGTTTGTTCAGTTTGCCTGTCCGCGATCTTCTTCAGTTTTTTGATAAGTTTCAAAAGTAAACATGCACAACTAAGGACCCAGGGTAACCTACATATCTAATTTGAGGTTTGGTTAAGTATTGTTTAACGTCCTATCAACAGCTATGGTCATTTAAGGACGGTCTAATTTGAGAAATATTCCTTCAGTACTTTCGGAGAAATAGCGACAACAAATGTAAACTGTAATAAGATGGCCGCCTGTCAGCAAAAATAATTTTCGGATCATTCGAATAAAATCATATGCAAAACAAAGAACCAAGAAGAAGAATCATTTTATAAAATTTAAGAAAGATCCGTCCAGCATATTCTGAGCAATATAGCACGAACAATCTTTTACTCCAAATTCAATATTGCCAACTGCCGGCCATCTTGGTTTTCCTATCAGAATTATAAATGCGTAACTAGGAACCATTGGAACAGTCATGTGAAATTTGAGAAAGACACCTTTGTACGTTCTGAGAAATAGTGCTAATAATACTATAGAAATAGTCAAAATTAAAGATGGCTGTCTATCGATCATCTTAGTTTTCCCTTCATAATTTCATTTGCGTGACTAAGGACCATGAAGAACCTCCATGTGCAATTTGAGAATGATCCCTCCAGTACTTTCTGAGAAATAGCGTAACAAACTTTAACTCTCAAATTCAAGATGGCTCCTTGTCAGTCATCTTTGTTTGATCAGATGGGAACACCATGAGAAATTTCAGAAAGATCCCTTGACTACTTTCTGAGAAATAACACTAACAATAATTGTTTACGGACGGGCGGACAAACGGACAGACGGACCACGGACGCAGGGTGATTGACTTTTATCAGACGGTGGGCTAACATGTCAGATGTTACTGAAATACCATACCGAAAGCACCAGACAGACTATCCTACCCGGTAACATTATACTAGTATCGCTGTTCTCCCTCCCTTGACAGGTGTGTTTATTGATAACTTTTCCTACCAAGGGAAATGTAGCTCAACCTTGCTATATTCTTACAGTTTTACCATCGTGTCATCACGTTATAACGTGAATTAATTTATCACACAATTCAGTTCAATGGCTGGTTCATCTTTACTTTTTTAAGGAAAGAATGGAATCGTTGAGTCTATAAGTCTTTGTAAATAGTAACATATTGCCGAAAATAAGCGGATCTCGGATTTTCTTCTTCAAAATTGCTGCCCGAACATCAAATTTTATCTGATACTGAATGTATTTATTTTTGTTGATTGTGTATTCAGTATGATTTGTTGTAAGTATGTTTTATATGTACAAAAGAAAGTTGTTGGGATTTTAATAATTGAGAGTATTGTGAATGTATCATTATTGAATGTATTTATTTGTTCTAATAGTTTGTTGTTAGTATTATTTATGTTTAGTATGTTTTTATATACAAAAGAAGGGTGTTGGGATTTTAATAATTGAGAATATTGTGTGTGAATCATTCAGTGTATTTTTTAATTATCACATTATTTGCGTGGTAGGGGGATTGAGTACCTTAATGACATGGATAGCTATGCTGGTTGGGGCTTTATGCTCCTGGTAGGGTCACCAAGCCAGACAGGTTGAAAGGCAGAGATCCGACCAAGCAGCACCGTCCTTTGGACGGGACGCAAATGCTAGGTTTGCACCGTTGTGCATTCTTTCCTTGGGGTTTGGATTACATGTGTCCGCCTTTGGGCTATGTACATAGTGTTGATTTTGTTTCTGTCCTTTTTTCCTCTTTGTTTTTTCTTCTTTTTCACACCTTCTAAATTTTGCTGTCCGAACATCAAATTTTATCTGATACTGAATGTATTTATTTTTGTTGATTGTGTATTCAGTATGATTTATTGTTAGTATGTTTTATATGTACAAAAGAAGGTTGTCGGGATCGAGAATTGAGAATATTGTGCATGTATCATTACTGAGTGTATTTATTTGTTCTAACAGTTTGTTGTTAGTATTTATTTTTAGTGTGTTGTTATGTACAAAAAAAGGATTTTAATAATTGAGAATATTGTGTATGAATCATTCAATGTATTTTTTTAATTATCACATTCTTTGTTGAGCCCTAATCGCTGCTCCTTTCCATTGTGAGGGGATTGAGTACCTCAATGACCTGGAAAGCTATGCTAGTTGGGGCTTTGTGCTCCTGGTAGGCTCACCCAAGCCAGACAGGTTGAAAGGTAGAGGTCAGACCAAGCGCGCTAGCACCGTCCTTTGGCCGGGACGCAAATGCTAGGTTTGCACTGTTGTGCATTCCTTCCTTGGGGTTGGTTTACAGGTGTCCGCCTTCGGGTCATGCATATAGTGTAGATTTTGTTTCTGTCCTTTTTATTTTCTCCTTCGTTGCTCTTTATGCTTTTCACCCCTTCTAAATTTTGATTTAGCATTTATTTTTGTCGACCATTTGTTGGCCCTAATGATCTATCCTGTGTTGATGGGACGTTGAGCATTGATAATTATAATAACTTTGTGGAGCCTCGTTTATTCAGCAATCACCAATCTGGCTTACTATCTTCATAACACAAATTTGACCATTCAAAATATTCCACTAAACCGGCCGCCGTTTAAAGGACTCGCACATCTAAAGAATTTACTGGATGTTATAACTAAGCTTTTTAGCTAATAGCGTTAATATTCGAAGTTCAACACTCACAACTTCTAGATTATTGTTACATACCTGACAAAAACTTCAAAAGGCATTTTTGGGTAGGTTTAGTGGCATATAAGAGCGATTCAGGCATCTGCTTTTGTCAACAGGAAGTTCACAATCGAAACAGGTGAAGCGGGACGGGAAACCCCCCGAACTTTTGACCCGACATAAATCTGCCATCACATATTAAAATCAACTAAAACTTTCCATTTTTTCCAAAATGAAATATCTAGATTTTATTCAATACAAAACATGTCAATATCTAACCATTTCAAATTACTCAGAGGCCACGTGTTTACATCGAACACATTTAAAGTACGGATTACAATCGTATGAAACAATTGCTGATTGGCTGATTGAGTTGTTTGTCCTCCGATAGTGAGGTTTCACATAGGCTAGTGATATGTTAAGAAGCATTCTTATATGAAATATCAATCTTGTCAATAGAATGATAAAGTATTTGAGTAATATAACCTCGGTTGAGAGGTAGAAATACTACGTGAAACTTTAAAAGTAAAACAACGGAATAGGTCGTATAATACAACATATGAAGATACCCCATACATCTTCTGATTTTATTACTTTCACGACGAAGATCTAACAAGTACAAGTACATGATGGTACCATTCCTTTTCTTAATCTTAGTTTTAACTGAAAGAAACTGAGTACTTTTTATATGCCCGTCAAATTTGACGGGAGTATTATGGTATGGGTTTGTCCGTC